TACATTTTTATTTTAAATTATTTAAAAAGAAAATATAACTGCAGCAATTTGTTACCTTTTTTTCTGTTGAAGAAAGTTATTCTGTCTCTATTTTCTCACTACTAAATAATTTAGCAGTCACGATTGTCAATCATGAAAGCGCAAATTTCCTTCCAATTTTTGTAATGACTCAATTTTCGGCCCCCGACGAGCGAGCAAGAAAGAGTTTGTTGATCGATTATGTTCTCTCTTCTTGAGCAACAAACCCATTTCGCCCGCTTTAATAGATCGCGGCGCGCTATTTGTGCATTTTTGCTTTTCTTATATATTAGGGAGAGAAATACCAAACGCATCGATCGGTTTGGCCCTGAGTGTGCGTTTTTAAGTGAAATCCCGTGTTATGCTAATTTGGGGCGAACGCACGCACCCCCTAATTCTTTCTTAATAAGTCATTTGGTAAATGGGTTCATTTTGTCAAACACCTTTGGGACGAGCTCGAGATCGGCCGTGGAAAGGCCTAATAGGCATGTGACCCAGATCATTATACCTGAGAGCGCATCAGCTGCTGCTTCTTTTCAAATCTCACTTTTTTTCCTCGCCCCCTTCAAAAGCATATAAAATCGTCAGCAGCAGGATGTGCTGCTTTGGAGAAAATTAATTTCTGGCGTACTTAATGCCGTTGATAAATTGCTGAAAATCAAGTTTCCAGAGGAAATAACTTTACATTATATAAAAGAGATTCGGTTACGCCGTGTATGTTATTGCGATTAAGATCAGTTCTTGGAATTACAAATTGAAATAAGACGTAATCTGATATTACAAAAAATTAAATTCTTATATATATTAATTGCGTACACCGGCCAGGAAAAACTACTGAATTTAATAATTTTTTAATTAGATTAAGTTGCACTTGTATTGTTGACAGGCGGCGGCAATTCTCACATAACTCTTTCAGGCAATTGGCCAAAAACTGGTTTTCATCCAATTTCGAATAATATAGCATAGCATCGGGCCGCACCGTAAAAACGTTTTTATTGCTGATAAAAAGAATGCATGCCTAGTTTTACAATTAAAGGGGAGACACATGTGTGTGTACATCCTGCCTCAAGACAACAGCAGCTTTTAGCATTTTTATATGCGAGAGGTAATTTCTTTCTCCGTCATAGAATAATAAAGTTAATTTCGCGAACAGGTTTAATGGCTGGGAGACGCGTACATAAAAAATTATTCGCCAATTTGACGGTCCGACTAGTTTTCGGAGCAGCTGCCGATGTATTATCGCATATGCAAAAAAAATTTGCCTCTATCTCGCTGCTCGGCCGTTATTACTCTGGGCTATTTATTTTGATATATACGCACGCATGCAGTACACACACGGTGTAGGTGGGGTACTACTTTGCTTTATTGCAAGAAAGGCTTTATAGGAAAGGTGCTGCTTGGCGGGAGGAGAGGACAGGTGGAAGCACTCATTGTGCTCATTTGCAAACCGCGCGCATATGCAAAAAGCAATTGCGGCCACTTTGCAACCAATTTCGGCGGCGGCAATAGCTCTTCTCTCTCTCTCTCTCTCTCTCGGCGGCTGTGCGCAAAAAATTACCGGCCAAAAACACCTTTTCAATCAGGTGCGCTCTCTCTTGAAAGCGTGCAAGTGAAAAGTGGCGAATAATTTTTTTGATTAAACAGAGCCTGCTGCGAATATACTTGAGAACAGTGTTTTTGGCGTAGGAGTTGAATTATTTGAGGAGGAAAAGTTGCGGGTTTCTTTTATTCTGCTGTCATAAGCAAAAGTTGGATTCTTGTTAGTTCAGTGAATTGGCAAAAATTCATCCTTAAGCTCAAATCTCACGGAATCAGCTCATTTTGGAAATAATAATGAGCGTTTGTCTGAAACTTCAAACTGTAATATAAGGATCAAGTTATAACTCAGAAATAAACTAACAATTTTTAAATTAATAATAAATGTTTAGTAATGTTTTAAAATAAATTACTAAATTTAGTAATGATTATATTTCAAATTTTATTTTTTATTAAGTTTTTGTTCAAAATTTTTTTATATAATATTTTTATTATATCAAAATTTCTATTTTATTTTCTCAAAATTTTTTTAATTTGTCACAAAAAATAAGTGAAAAAAGTAATCAAATTATTCATTCAATATTTCAAGTTATTATTATTAATATATACTTCTAACCAAATGCTTTTCTCTGATAGATTGAAATTAATGTTTCTTAACTATAAATTTTCTTCTTGCCAATTAAACATCAGAAGCTAATAAGGAAAAAATCTGATGCGCATCGTAAAAGTATCCACATTTAATTTGTTGACAAGTTAATAAATACAAAAAATCCTTTTTAAGTCGAGACAACAACGTGTCTCTTGTTGACCAACTCCTTCATAGTCCACAACTGTAAATTTTTCCCAGCGCGCCTGTCTCTTGAATCTTGAATCGTCCGTCTTGTTTTTGCAAAAAGTGCAAAGATGAGTTTCCTTTCGTCGCGTATCTCGCTCGGTTACAAAGTTGCACGCTTATGAAAAGACGCGTCAAAATCGCTCGAGAGACACAAATAATGGCAGTCTTTATATATTGCGAATTTTTTGCGTGCCGTTTTCGCCCCCGGGGAGATTTATTGAGGCATGAATGGTAACAGACGTTTGCCATGCACGGCACATACAATTGCGTGCGCAAATGCATTTTCATGTGTCGGCGGATGATGCCATTACGCGGCCTGCTGTGTGTGCACAAACGCGGCTGCAAAAAACGGCGCCGAATTTATTTGAGAACTTTTCATCTGATCGTACTGTACTTTTATTATGCTGAAAAACCCACCATGGCATGTCGCCCGCCGATCATAATTCCAGCATTTGCGGCAAAATTTATATAAATCCTTTTTATTTGACGTTGGCAATTTTACGGCTGGTTGTCGCATTTTCATTTTTAAATGAAGGTGGAGTGTAAAAAAATAATAAAGAACTGGTCTTTCGTGAGAAGCGATTGTGATATGTGCGCGGCCTATTTGTAAACGAACGCAGGATTGTGAGAGAGCCGCGGAATAAAAAAAAGGGTTGCTATCTAGTAACAAGGCAGATGGCTTTGAGATGGGAGAAGACCTCTCCGAGAGTCTCCTTTTCTGATGACTAAGCATATTAATTCATCATCATCTGCGTTTTTTTGTGGCGCAGAGACTTGTTTCGACTCTGAAGAGTGTTCAGAACTGTAACTAATTTTCTTTCAATAATATAAAAAAAAATCATTGCCTCTATATGTACAGACTTTAAACGTGAAATTATTACATTTTCTTTTGGGTCAATTTATACTGCTGAATAAGAAATTTTCCAATTCCGAATAACTTCTTTCAAATTCCATTTTGATATTATTTTATTTTTCTTTGTTAGTATTTAATTTAGCAATAACTTTATTAATTTCCATAGTATTTAAGTCTGGTCTTGTTTTCATTAAAAATAGAATTCAAACTAATTCATTATTAATCAATGGTACTATTCCATTCCATTCCATTTGAATTTCAAACTCGCGTTTAAGTGCTAGACTGCAATGAATTTTTTTTTCACTGAACATTGTAGGAGCTAGTTTGGCAAGCCAAATTTATAAATTTGTGATAAAATCTGTTAAATTTAATTTAATTAAAAATTTGAATATAAGAAAATTAAATTCAATTAAAATGAAGTAACCAAATAAAAAAATTATTTTTAAAACTTACAATATGTTAATAAATAATATAAATTTATTTTTTAATAAAATTGAAAACATAAAAGTAATTAAAAATTAATAATTTTTTTTTAATTAACATGTAGTTAAAACATTTCTCGTTATAACAGTAAGTTAATGATTAATAAAAGTGCAAATTTGCAGCTTAATAATTATTTTTTATTATTTTACTATTATATATCTTCAAAAATTAATTATTCTCAGCTACATTAATTCAACACAGAAACCACCGATTGCACTGCTGTGCGGTGTAAATTTATAACGTGCACTTCTTGTGTGATTCAATATAATGATGAATCGGGCGAGTAGATTGCGTGGGTGAAGATGATGAAGGATATTGGAACGGGTTGCGTGTGTGCGCCGTTATATGCCGCGGCTGTTGGAGAAATCCAACGATTTTTTCCGCAATCTTATTTCGAATTGAAAGTATAGGGTGCATATTCAAATTTTTATATATATTCTCTCCGGTCTGGTTGTAATTTTCTTTCGGCACGAAATTTTCCGCTCCCCGAACCAATCAAGTCGCTCGCCCGACCGTGTTTTCCTTTCCTTGCCATTGTTTAAATCAAGAAGAAAAAATAAAATAAAATGCCGGCGCGGAAAATCCTCTCTCTCGTGTTTGCTCTTCCAATTTCGGGGATTAAAAAAATTCTGCGCTGGAGATGCGCCGCTTGCTTAATTGCGCCATCAACGCCAGAGAAAAAGACGGGAGAGAGAGCGAGATTTCCACTTAAACATCGCGAGTTTTTTCGCCCTTTTAATTCTTCCCGATTTTCTTTCTCTGCGTCAGAGTTTGCTGACGGTTTATGTCGGCCGAGTGAGCGCATTTCGTCCCCCACTCTGCAATTAAAATCGGAAAAGCGGCTGCTCAATACTTAAAGATTCTTTTCACACTTCTTTCTAAAGAAATTCAGGTGAAAATATATTTTGGTAAGTTGGATGTTGTGCTTCATTGCTTTCATTTCGTTGCATGTCTTTACAAAAATTATTTTTTTTGGTGTACGCAAACAAATCCTTTAGATAAAACCCTCCAAAATCAAATTAACATGATCCTCCAAATTTTTAAAAATTGCTTGACTTGCCTTTTATAAAAAAAAATGGGACTATTGGGATGTAAAAAATATAAGTGATTTTTTCATATACTTAGCGAGAGGAATAGAATCTCTGTGCAAAAAAAGCTCGAGCAGGAGCCAAATATTTTTTGTATGCAAAATTGGTTAGGGACTAGCCAGGCAGCGGAAAGAATTAAAGAGCAAATATTCTCACTTTGGCGGTTGCGTTTCTGTTTTTCCTGCAGATCTTCATGCACAAGTCGGCAATGCAGATGCACGCCCGGGAGGCCGTGCAGGCGGCCGGGGGCGGCGGTGGGCCCCTGATGCCCGGCAGCAGGCCAGAGGTCAAGCCGCACCAGTGTCAACAGTGCCTCAAGTCGTTCAGCTCCAACCACCAGCTGGTGCAGCACATCAGGGTGCACACCGGCGAGAAGCCCTACAAGTGCAGCTACTGCGACCGCCGCTTCAAGCAGCTGTCCCACGTCCAGCAGCACACCAGACTGCACACCGGTGAGTACAACCCGCCACTAGGGTAATGTTTTTCTCATTTTTTTGCACTAATTCGTTAATGTGTAAATTATAAAGGTGAAAAAAAATGGTAGTAAATCTGATTACTTAAAATAAACTCACTTAATAAATTTGAATAATTTTGTTAAGATTTATAGTATTTTGTTAAATTTTAAACTTAATTTTATTGATTTTATATATTATTTATCATATTTTTTATAATTAATAGGAGATTTATATCTGAAATCTTCTTTTTGTAAAAACAATATGTATTTTATGAATATTTTTATTTTAATATAATAAAATCATCACATGAATGTATAAGTATTCAAGATATTAAATTTTAGCATTTAGGTTGCGGTTTTCCTTAATATAAAAGCATTGAATTCAAAATTATAACCTTCCACTTTTTTTGCAATTTCAGCTTAAAAAAATTAACTTGCAATCAAAAAGCAATCTTTCCTCATTTCATATTTTTAAAATTGCTATCGCAGGCGTCGTCAGACAAAATAATAATTTCAAAGCCGTGAGAATTATCTTGTTATGCTTCTGCACTCGCGTTTTCAAAACAAACTGAAAAATCATAAAATACTGCAGGCAACAAAAATTATGAAAAAAAGACCACACAGCAGGCTCAAGAATAAGTAGCAGCAGCACACCTACTTTTTGTTTAATTAAAATTTAATTTGTACTTAATCTCCCACTGTGTTTATTCGCCTGGCAGGAGAATTAAAAAGAACATTAAAAATAACAAGCTCTCTTCGTAAAAACGAAATGACTCTGCGATTTTTCTCCCATTCTTTATAGAGAAATAAATTCGCCCTGGGAATGTATAAAGAAAATGCATAATGCAAAAGATCCTCGCTCAGTCGAAAATTGCTGCTATCAGTGTCGAAATTAATTTTAATTAATCGGAAAAGAATCGCGCCAATGGCCGCCGCCGGCAGTACATTTGGCACGCCAACAATGTTTTTTTTTTATCCTTCTACAAAGGAGCAGCGACCACCCAACCGTTCCTTCTTCTTTTCGCAGTACTAGTAAGAAAATAAATTCAACCGCGTACACACATGCACCACAATGAGAGGATTTTTCATCTCATTATTGTGTAATCGTCTGTGAAGCAGCTCGTAAATCTTGCACATTTTTTGCCGCGCGCGCAAAGCAGGGTTTTAAGCGGCGCGGTGGCTCAACCCTTTGCGTCTGAGGTCGAATAAAGAGCCAAAAAATGCCTTGTTTGACGGCGGTGCCTGCTTTCGGCGAGCCAAAAGCTGCGGATTTCCTCGAAAAATAGAAAGGCTCTCCTCATCGTGGCCGATAAGCTCCTTTTGATGACCGCGTGCTCAGCCCTTGCACGTCTCATCTCATGAACTTTTTCGCTCCCGCCCTTTTTAATGCGAAAAGCTAATAGAGCACACATTCATATATTGCGAAAAAAAATCTGCAAGCAAGGAGAAGGGTTAGCTCTCTTTTTATATTATCTCTCGGCTCATCCCCCTCGCCGCCGCTTTTTCAATCTCAAAATCAATTGCACATCGATGAGTCATGCAAGCGGCAGACCCTTCTTTTTTCTAGGGCGGGTCACTCTCTCTCTCTATTTTAATTAAAAAATTTCCCGCCGTTTATTTTTCGTCCGGTCAGATTTGCTTCGGGGGAGATTGGAATTCGCATATGCAGGCTTGAATAGACAAAAAAAAATGCTCAATCGGGAGGGCTCAATAAAAATAGATTGCTCTGCCGATTGCATCTGTTTTATGAGAATGCTCGTCATGTTGAAGCGATTTTTCGCCATAGAGATTTCACAAAGATAAAACACGCGGTCCGATAATGTTTGCGTTTGGTTGAACTTTGAAGAGCCAAATCTATCGCTTATTTAATATATTCATATTGAAACTATCAAGATATATTTTGGTTTCAAATAAATTGAATGAGATTTCAAATAAAGTTACAAAATCGCCAGAATATTTTAATTATTCCTAAAAATGTAAGGATTTGCTAAAAATTTTGATATTTTTCTTTTCAACTGTTGATTTAAAAGTTAGAAATTGTTGCCTTTCAAAGGCTATCTCTGGCCTATCTGAAAAGATGCAGATTTTTGCTCTCTTTGTGGCTGCAAAGGTTTGGCGTTTTTATGCTCTCGATGCGCGCTGGCCTTTTTCCTTTTTCCAATTACGCGAAACATCAATCAGATCGCGATGGAGTGCTCAACTCTGCGCTTTGCTGCTTTTTTCACCCTCTCTCCGCCTTCTTTGGCAGGCCGGAGAGTGCTGCTTTTACTTTGTCTTTTGACGGAAAAGATTTAACCACATCAGCTAATCTTGACATAAAAGTGATGAGACGAGATTACGAACCCGCCAGGCCGCTCTGCGCGTGTAAAAAATCCACATCAAAGATGAATTATAAAATATATACGTCGCCTTTGTTCGCGCATTTTTATTTCCACGCCGCCGGGAAAGGAACGCGCAGGTATAAAAATATATCAATGGACCGCCGCTTGCGCCCCAGGCCCTGTTTAAGTGATTCGATAATGGGAGGGTTTCTACACACACAGGTAGCTAAAATATATAGGAAAACATGTATATACACGTCAATATGATGTAACAATTACAAAGGGTGTTATTAACAAAATTTATAAAAGCTGTAATTTATTATACAAGATACATTTCTTCCCTCCTTTTGAAACTTTTTTTTTATAAATATACGAGGGGGTAAAAAATTTCCATATCTGTGACATTTTCGTCGGCCAACCAAGTTTGAGTCTTTTTATTGCCATTTCCTAAAACCTTTGCTTCTCGCAGGAAGAGCTCAGAGAGAGAAGAAACTTTTCATATTTTATATATACCGGAGGCGAGTCCAATCAAACTTTTTGATACTCTTTTATTGGGAGGGAATTTATATTTTTGCCAATAATATTCAGAGGGCAAAAATCATTTCAAATTCCTCCAATATAAACTTCTTCTTGAATAAATCAGTTTTCCAGAGTGGTTTAAAATTTTTTGTTTAAACAAAAAATTCTTCCAGCTGATGCATTTGAATTTTACAAATTATTAATTTGCCGCCTATATAGATAGATAATGATGCATTACGCTTGAATTGATTTCGTGTGTACCACCTCGGGGCATTTCACTTATTTCGCACTCTGCTTGACACTCTCACATAATTTGCATGGCTCTGAAAAAGAAAGAAAAGTTGCCACCCCTCCTTTTTTTATTCAAGCAACGCAATCAGCTGCGGGGATTTTAACAACCAGATTAGCATATTGCGAAACTTGGCTTTTCTTTTACTAAAACATTTTCAGTCCAATCGGAAACAAATTTCGAAATTCGAGATTCACCCCTGGTGAATAATTTTTCCTGGCGGGGGCAACGACAATTGCATTAGTCCAACTAAACAAGCATTATGCTGCCGGGGAGCAAACTGCAATTTTTCAGCGAAAGATTCATTACATGACCATCAGTGGTGATATGCCACGGGGGTTGTTCCGTGATTGGAAAATGATTTTGCCCCGCACACACGTGTACGTGCTGCACTCTCGTTTGGAAATGCACTCGCGCCACCATGATACGGCGGCAGTAATTCATAAATCACTGGGCGGCAAATTGGGAAAGCTCCCAACTTAAATGAGAATGCGCCCAGCTAGGGTGTGTGTGTAATAATAATTATGCTGGATGCACACACTGGCCAGGTATAGTAGGCAGCACAGCCGCAGGATGCATCTGCGAATCATTTGTCAGCAAAATTGCTGCGGCCACCGCGGGCATTGCAATTTCAAATTCGTCCGAGCCCCTATAGATAAGTTATCCTTTTGAGTAGGATCAATTTTCAAATTTGGATTGAATATTTTATGTATTAAGTAATTTTGGTAGCTGGAATTTCATTCATTCTTCATTAATTTGAAAATTCATACATTCAAAAAAAAGGAACATTATTACATTATTTTTCCCAACAACCACAAAACATTTCAAGGAAAATATTATTTTCAATTTTTAGAAACCGCAGGAGAAAAGTGCAGAGTCACGCTCTTGCGGCCAAACAGTGGCTCGGCGCGCGTATATAAATATTAAAAATTGAGAGATAGATAAAGCAGGGGTTGGAGAAAATTCGGGTAGATTCCATTTCCGCGCCTCCCCCATTCCGTCCGTTTTTTCGTTATTGCACCGCACACACGACGCCGGCGAAGAAAAGAAAAGAAGCTCATTGACCATGCATCGCGCCCTGTATAATGCGAGACCGATCAATAAATTTACTATGCACACCGATGTCATGTATATATTTTCCGCCGCCAATACTTGCGGTACATCTCGCGAGGCAGACGCGTGACCAGACTCCAAAATATCCCCAGCAGGGCTAGCTGCTCCACCTCCGCGAATGAATTTATGACACGCAATCACGCACCTGCATACACAACCCTCTGGCTTCTCAATGAAATTGTCTGCGCCGCTCAATTTCTAATGGCGCCCTTTGCACCAAAACGCACTTGCCAAGAGATTTATAAAAAGTAAAATGTCTGGCTTTTTATGCAGCACATAAATTTTACATCGATTTTCTTAATAGCTTGAAAGGCTCAAGAAAAAACCCTTTTTTTTAGAAATAGTTGCTCATAAATTCAATAATTTACTAACAAAATGAGTTTTTAATTTAATAATTTGATTCTAAATTATATTTTTACAAAGAATATTCCTGCAAAATTTATAAAATCCCCGTATAAATAATCAATCGTAATATCAGATCTGTAAAAAATGTAATGTATTTTTTAACTTACAGATTTTTACTGAAACAGACAAAAATATAACTTTTCTAGCTGAAAAATAATTATAAAAATATTCTCTCTACAAACAATTGAAATTTACGGCTATTCTGGACATAATAATTGTGCAATTGAGCTGTTAAAGTCGTTTGGTTTTGAGATTGAATCATCACATGAGCTGATGCCCGCCGAAATTTATCTTCGTGCAGCGGGCACGAGAGAGCGCAGCAAATTCGTTTATTGGCGAAAATTGATGTGT